AGCTAACCCGCTAACTAAATTGCTTCATAAATGAGTTCCCTTATTTTGGAATGAGAAGTGATAGGAGAGCTTCGAACAATTAAAGGTCATTTTGATCCAAACCCCAGTTTTGAACTAACCAGAGTTGGGTAAGGATTTTACATTTTTCAGTGATGCTTCGTTGAATGAACTTGGATGCGTACTGATACATGAGGGTAAAATTGTAGCTTACGCATTCCGATAACTTAAGCTCCATGAGCGTAATTACCCTACTCATGACCTTGAACTAGTAGCAGTGGTGTTGGCTTTGAAGATTTAGCAGCACTACCTCTTTGGTGAGAAGTGTCACATCTTAACCAATCACAAGAGCCTTAATTATCTTCTCACTCAAGAGGAATTGAACCTCATACAATGTAGATGGTTGAATTGCTTAAATATTATGCTTGTGTGATAGATTACCACCTAGGAAAGGTTACTGTTGTGAAAGACGCCTTGAGCCAGAAGTTGATGGCAGAGTTGTGAGTTCTCTTAGCACGTTTGAGTTTATCTAGTAATCATGAGTTATTAGATGAGTTACAAGTCGAGCCAGAGTTGGTAGGTGAAGTCAAGAGACTGTAGAGTTCAAACGATCGGTTGAGGGCTCAGATTGAGCAGGTTCGTCAGGGTGAGACTCCAGGTTTCGAGCTTTATGGTGAAGATGTGTTGTATTTCAGGGGTCGATTGTGCATACAAACATATGCCTAGTTACGAGATATGATCCTCCATGAGCCGTATTGCAGCCCACTCTCAGTACACCCAAGCACTAATAAGATGTATTAGAAGCTTCCTCGATTATTTTATTGGCCAAGCATAAAAAGGAAAGTGTTAAAGTTTGTCATTAGATGTCTAGTGTGTCCGTATATCGGTAGAACAACATGTTTACTCTAACCCATTTAGATTCCTTAGTGGAAATGTGATAGGGTAATCAGGACTTCATGATCGGGTTACCGATGACTAGACATAGATATGACGTAGATTGGGTCATAGTAGACCACCTAACCAAATCACCTCACTTTCTTCCAGTTAGGGTAGACTACAAGTTAAAGAGACTGGCACAATTGTATATCCGTAAGATAGTGAGGTTGCACGGTGTACCAAGTTCCATCATTTTAGATAGAGACCCTCAATATACTTTTTGCTTTTAAAAAGCCCTTCATGAGTCCTTAGGCACCAAACTACACTTCATCACAGCATTCCATATTCAAACAGATGGTCAGTCAACGCGAGTTATCCATATTTTTTAGATATGCTTAGGTGTATCGTCATCGACCTAGAGGGTAGTTGGGAGGACCATTTTTCATTAGTATAGTTTACCTACAACAACAGTTTTCAGTCGAGCATTTAGATTTCTCCATGAAGCTTTGTATAAGTGCAAGTACATGACTCTACTATGTTGGACAGAGCTTAGTGAGGGTAAGATAGTGGTCCAAGACCTGATTTGAGAGATAGAGGAAAATTTTTGGTTAATGCAGAGCCTACTAAAGGAAGCTTGAGACAGACAGAGGTCTTACACAGACTTGAAGCGTAAGGATATTGAATTTGTAATTAGGGATAAGGTGTTCCTTTAAGTTTCCCTACGGAAGAGAATGCTCCACTTTGGGCTTAAAGAAAACTTAACCCCTCGCTTTATAGGGCCTTATGAGGTATTGAAGCGGGTAGGACCAGTGGCTTATAGATTTTCCTTACCACTAGAGTTGGTGCATCCACAATGTGTTCCACGTATCTATGCTCAGGAGATACAGTTTCGATCCTTCGCACACCATACCCTTAGAGCAGATTGAGGTCAACCCATATATAACATTCATATGAACCAACTATAATCTTAGCGAGAGAAGTAAATGAGTAAAAGAACAAGAGGATTCCTTTGGTAAAGGTGCTATGGATGAACCATGGTTTCGAGGAGGCAACTTACAAAACCGATGAAGACATGCAGCTTCAGTATCCTTACCTATTCTATTCAGGTAAATTTTAAGGACAAAATTTCTTTGTAGAAGGGGAGAGTTGTAATGCCGATCCCAGGTTAGGAGTTTTAGGCTAAAACGCAATGGAACTTGATTTAATTCTCTAGTTCATAGAAGCTTTGACCCAAGTTGATTTGGTTTTGGGCTTACTTTAGGCCCAATAGAGAGTAAAAAGGATAATTTCAACTTTCAATTAAAACCAAAATAACCAAAGAGTTAAATATACCATTTTTCAAAATAAAGGTTGAACACCATTAAAAATTGGTGATTTCACGTCTGTTTCATGCCCCATTTTTCCTTCACAAAGCTTGTTTCATCTCTTCTTCTTCTTCCTTTATTTATTCATTCTTAAAACATTATCAAATGTTAAGACTTTATAGTTTTTAAGCCTTATTCAGGATTTCAAAGGTAAGTTTCAAAATATAACCATCCTAAGCTTCATTTCAAGCTCCCAAACACAAGGTTTGGTCATGGTTTTAGAAAATAGGTCTTGTGGGGGTTTAGTGAGCTTGGATGATTTAGTTTGTTTAAGTGATTCCTATATTTAATAAGTGTTTTTACAACCCTTCTTAACCACTAAAATAGGTTAGTAACCAATGCTTTTTATTTTATAGTTTAAAGAAAAAAGTGAGGAAAGTTCTTAAGAAAGGAGTAAGGAGAAGCTCACCTTAGGTTGAGCCTTTAACGTCCCTAGTAATTTAGAATCATAAGGTAACTCAATCTTAACTTATATATACCACATGTAGTTCATTAGGTGAGATTTGTGTATGTGTATAAGCTTGAAACATGATCATGGTAGATTGTTTTCAGTATACTCACAAAATCTTTATGACCCCTAAATCAAATAAAACACTTAAATATCAGTTGGGGACCTAAATGGGGAATTTGATGGGCAGAAAAATGGGATCTTTAGTGCCAAAACAGACACCCCATAGCGATAGTATCGATACTGTAAGAACAATATCGATATTGTTCTTTCAAGCAGAAAATAGGCAGTTTTAGAATGGTAGTATCGATACTCATTCATAGAGTATCGATATCAGGGCATGAGTATCGATACTCCCTATAGGGTATCGATACTGGGGTATTTTTCAAAACGTCAAACCGAATATCAATACCTCAGCACCATAGTTGATACTCATCATAGGGTATCGATGTTGCCTTAATCCAAAAGCCATATTAGTTAGGTGGTATCGATACCATTAGGTGGGTATTGATAACAAAGGTTTGGTATCGATACTGAATGGTCAAAATATTGTTACCCACGAGCATATTTGGATAAATAATCCAAGGGTTAAGGGATTAGACTCGAGATACCCCATACACTCAGAATAATATCAAATAAGACTTCAAGTGATAACAATAACTAATATCATAATAGTAGAAATAGTAACAACTATGTTACATAAAACTAGCCTTGTTTGACGCTCGGAAAATGTCATGACACCCGAATTTCTCTTTAGCAGAACTTGTCGATTTATTTATTGAACGTGTGTAGTATAGTACAATTATTAGTGAGGCACTGATCTTGTAACCTCAGCGTTCGAAATGTGTTTCCGTGCACAAGTTCTTAAAGGCAATTCGTGGGGAGTTATCGTCACTAGATATTCCAGTGCAACATACCAGATTTCCTGAGATCTTCAGAGTACGTCGTGAGTCATCTTTATAGGGCATGTACTACTATGGACCCTTTATATATTCAGTCGTACCTTTATTTGGTACTCAATATTTGTATTGTATGGATGTATTTTGGGAGCTCCCCATTGATTTGTAAACCCATATATTTATCATGTTTTATTTTATCACTATGGATGATCTATTTTCAATTATTTATAAGTGGTTTTTAAAGAAATTTTTTTGTCACTATTTCGGTAGACCCGTGTAACATTATCATCCATGGATCTTCGGGTCGGACTAAATTAAGGTGTTACATTTATTGAGACGTATTTCCTATTCCTTGAATTTTTTTGAAAAAATAAATATTTCGGTGACAAAAAAAATCTCGGAGTTCATATCTATCTTGACCTTATAAAGTTGTATTAATAAAAATTGACAGGGAAGGTCGATATTCCGACTTTTTCATAAGATCAAAGTTTAAGTGAAATTTTCACTTCCCTCTTTCATGTTATATTCACTAAAAGTACTTATGCTAATTGGATAACTATTATTCTATATTATTTAATTATATAATTTCATGATAATTTATAAATAATTTTTAATTTCATAATTTTTAAATTTTAAATTTTACTTTTTGTAAGACTTTATATTATTTATTTAATTTAGTTTTATAAAAATTTAGTGAAATAGAATTTACAAAGACACTTAGAATTTAAGATAATTAGATACAAATATAAAAAAATTTGTGCATTATGAACGAATTTAGATTTATATAAAAAAAAAGTCAAGCTAAATTCAAGATAAACAAAATAATATTTTTGAATAATTTAATTTTTATTTTTGATATTATTATATTTAATTTTTGAATATTTTTATATTTTGAATTTAAAATATTTTTTATTTTTTAAAAAAGTCAAATAAGCCCTTAAACATTTAAAAAAAATCAATTTGCCCCTCGAACTTGAAAAAAAAAATTTAGCCCATCTGTCGCACCATCATCCACGCCACCAACCACTGTGGACTATTATGTCAGCACTGTGGATCATCACATCATCAGCGTAACGGTCAACGATATAAAATGTTGGTCAAATAGTCACATTAAGTTTTTTTATAAGTTTGAGGGTCACATTAAATAAAAAAAAAATCGATGATCACATTGATTTTTTTAAAGTTTAGGGGCTTCTCGTAACCGTTTGCCTTTTGCTAAAGAAAAATTGATTAAAATAAAAAAAATTAAAATTAAAAATAAACAAGATACTAAATAAATATTTTATATAAAATTATAACACCATAAAACGCACAACTTGAACGCGGACTTAACGGAATATGCCAACTACTGCTAGCAATCCCCCTCTATAAATATCCTCTCGCACCTTTGTTTTCATACACTGCTATGGCTGTTGAAATACTCAAAATCTCAGCTTCAGTCGGATCAAAAGAAAGAGAAAACAGCCATCAAAGTGCAAAGAAAGAAGTTAAATCTAACCCAGGAAAAAGAAAATGTGTTTGATGCTGTTGTGCGGTAAACAAGAGAGAGAGTTGGGACGGGTACAAGCGCCTGGGTTTTGCCCCCACTGCGGCGGCAAAGTGGAGGTCGTCGATGTCGAGAGCAGATGGAGGCTGTGTTTCTTGCCCGTTTGCTTCAATATCAACAGGAAATATTATTGCACCTTGTGTGCCAGGCGTTTGGTCTTGTACTGTTAGCTAGTTCCATCTAGATTTTGGCTCTTCTTCTTTCTTTCTTTTATTTTTTTACTCCGAATTCTGCTAATTGTAAATGGTTTTCTCCCCTGTACGAATGAACATTTTCTTGCTGTTTTGTTCTTCGAAGCTTTTCCATGAGGAAAGAGATAACAATTGGATCTGAGATTCCATTTTCTCCATACTATACATTTGGTTTGAAACACAAGCGACGTTCATTTTCTGGGTTTAGTTTGATAAAGTGACCACATTGAAATTAGAATGCTTTGAAACTGAGGACTCCTTTTAGATCTATTAACGACAAATTTCTAATTGTTCCTAATAAGTCAAATGGGAAAGTGAAATTGTGAAAAAGACAGCTCAATATGTGTGTTTATTCTATGTAAAAAAAATAATCTTTTTGTGAAATAATTAAACATATACAAGTAGAAGAAAATGTTTCATTGTTTTCGCTATATGTTTTAGATACCTAATCGATCCCTATCATTTAGACTCATTTGATCTTTGAATTTTGTCTTAAATACATAATTAGTTATTGGTTTTGAAAACTATCAAATATGTTAATCTAAAGGTTTAAATTTATTAAGATTTTATGTGTCACCTTTAGACAATTGATGGATATAATCTATCTTTAAAAATAAACTTCTCTATAATTAACGGGATTGGTTCAAGTGGTAAGCAGTTTGATATCACTTAAGCAAGATCTTAAGTTCGAGTCATTGTTTATGCCAAAAAAAAAATTGTTAGAAGAATCACCTACTAAAATCAGATATACGACTCAAATCAGTTCAAATTAATCAAAGTAAAACTTTAGGATTGGATGGCAAAAAAAAAAAAAACCCTTCCATAAACTCAGTCTTAGTATCTAATTTGTACTTACACTTTCTTACGTCTATTTGATAGTTTTTTTTTATATCTATTTTGTATTTGAACTTGAAAATTATCATTTGTATTATGCATAGTCTGAATTAATTTATCAGAAAGATTAGATATTAATAATTAAAAAATAAAAATCACAATCTATCAAAACTAATCATTATAAAATATAAAAGAACAATTTAATAATTATATATGGTATAACTTGAACTTATTATGTGCATTTTTATCCAAACTAACGCACTATGTTCATTTTTCATCCGAACACATACATATTTATTAGCGACTAACTTAAACTCATTTTGCCCATATTATTTTTTAAAAAAAGTTATTCTATTTTTATTTTAAACGACCAGTTGGTCTAGTGGGATGAGATATTAGGTCCCTTAAGCAATGGAGCAAACTGGGTTGGGAGGGTCGCTCTCACCTCTGCAGTATCCGATCTGGATTAGTCGACCAATAGATCGGATATCAGTGATTAATTCAAAAAAATAATTTTTTATCAAAACTTATTCTTTGGTCAAATATTTTATTTAAATATTTTCAAATTTCATTTGAACATTTAAATTCAAACAGATATTTCAAGTTCTCAACTATGGAGCAAATCAAGATAGATGCATGAGTGAATAGAATAATTGCCATTTTTTTTTACAATTTTACTTTTAAGACAGTTAAAATCAAGCAAAACCAAGAAAGTCGTTTTCTTGGGGTCAGATTTTGATTCTTACAAATTTGTCGCTTTTAATTTTTTCCTTATCACTGTGTGGTTGTTTTCTCAAATGTAATAATATTTTATTTAATTTTCATTAAAATAAAGGAACATGGTGAAGGTTAATTAATGGAGAAAGTACTCCAAGGGCATAAGGGAAATTGAATGGGGTAAATTGCTTTCAAGGTTGAGACATTTGGGACATATATATTTCCCCATTATTATTTACAATTCTTATGTTTAACTTACTTAAAATATAATAAACATATCCACGAACTAAACTATCTAATGGTTAAAGAATTTATTATTATTCTTAGAGGTCTCAAGTTCGAACACCAAAGATTATAGAGTATTTAGACGTTTACTATCAAATAATTGAGAATCTTTAGAAGATATACTACCACTTGTAAGCATCCTAGATTAATAAATAATAATAATAATAATATATAATATTAATTGAGTTAAGTTCAATTATTACTATCATTAATATAATATATAAAAAATATAAAATCAAATATATTTATATATTTAATATTTTTTTAATAATTTGAGTGATTATTATTAAAGTTTTTTAAGCAATTGATAACACATTCTATCAACACATCTGTTCATACAAGTATTTTTTTTGATAAAAACAATATGGTTTTCTTAATTACTGAATCCACATAATATTAAGTTCGCAGCTACCATTTAAGTTTAATGTCAAACTTAGCTCTTCAACGTTTATCAAAATATGATTTTAGATTTTATTATTTTAGCATTTTAGTCTCTATCTTTTTAGTTTAGGTTTAAATAACTCTTAATAGTCACTTTGGTCCTAAACTTTTTAGAGTAATTTGGCTCTTGATATGTCATTTTATGATAGAAAAGTTCTCTATTTTAAGCAATATTCATTTGTTAACTAACAATTGTTTTGGTAAAATATGAAAACAACTCAGCTATACACTATTGCTATTATTAGCCCATAGCAGTGGCAGAGTTAACTAACAATTTTCAACCACTGAGAAATATTTTTATTTGAAAATAAAATATTGGTATCAAAATACTCTTAAAAAAACTAGAGATCAAATTAACTATTTAATCCAGCATTAGATTATTTTTGGCAAAAGGCACGCAAAGCCCCTGTACTTTAAAAAATCAATGTGGCCCTCGTACTATTTTTTCTCTCAATGCGACCCTCTAACTAAAAAAAAGAACTCAATATGACCGTTGCACCAATGTTTTCCGATATTAACCAACGGCTCCGTTAATTTGCTAACGTGACACGTCAAGTGGATCAGCACCCTCTATTTAATGCAATTATAAATGAGTAAATTACACCATTCTTCACTCAATTATCTTCTTTCTCTCATTTTAGTCAATAAACTTTAAAAATTTCAATTTAATCACTCAACTTTTGAATTGTTTCTGTTTTAATTACCATGACTTATTTTGTTAGTATTTATGTATGATGTGACATTTATTATTAATAATAATAATATTATTATTTTATTAACATATGATTAAAATAATATTAATTAAATTAAAATTTCAAAATTGTATTTAAATAAAAAAATATTCCCCAAAATCTTAAATCACAACCCCACCCAACCTTCGCCATCAAGAGAAATCTCTGAAACTCGACCGTGGTTTGGATTGCATTTGACGGATCTCCAAGAACAAGGCGAGTTATTATCTTCGTTCCAGGATTGAAGATAAGGGGAAGGGTCTTTCATATCTGATTTGAACACTATCAAGATAAGAACATCATTGTTGAGTTGAATGGGAGAAGCTTCATCGTCTCCTATGCAGAAATCCATGGAAAGAAGAAAGTAAATCAGAAAATAAATAGAACCCTTTTTAATATCACCATTGTTTTTCAATTTTGTTGTTTATAATCCTCCCCCTGAATTCAAGCTTTCACTATCACTAACGTTCGTTTTACTGACGTTTATTGCAGTGTTCTTTCCAACACTGATGGAGTTTTTAGCGACGCTTAAAAACGCCGCTAAAAACCTATTTTGTTGTAGTGTTTCTTCCTTTAGTTCTTAAATTTTAAAAAGAAAAAGAAGCACAAACCAACTTACCTCAGTGGTTAAAGGGATTGTTATTGTTCTTAGAGGTCACGTGTTCGAGCATCAGCGACTAGAAGGGTGATTGGATGTTCATTGTCAAATGATTGAGAGTATTTAGAACATATACTAGTTTAAAATCACCTTAGCTTAATAAAAAAATGAAAAGTAAAAAGTAAAAGACGTTTGGTTGAGGGCATGGGTGACAACGAGAGTAGTATTTTAAATACATCTTTGGAATTTTAGGGTTTTGGGGGTTTAGGGTAATTATGACGGTGATGGTGAAGGTGGGGGTTGTGATTTAGAATTTTGAGGAATATTTTTTGTATTTAAATATAATTTTGAAATTTTAATTTAATTAATATTTTTTATTCATATATTAATAAAATATTAATAATAAATGCACTTCATTCATAAATATTAATAAAATAAGTCATGGTGATTAAAACATGAGTAATTCAAAAGTTGAGTGATTAAATTGAAATATTTTAAAGTTTGTTGAACAAAATGAAAGAGAGAAGATAGTTGAGTGATGAATAACGTAATTTATCCATTTATAACAACATTAAACAGAGGGTGCTGGTTTGCTTGACATGTCACGTCATCGGAAATTAATGGAACGTTCAATGAGGAAAAACGTTGATCAAAGAACTACATTGGATTCTCTTTTCTTTTCTTTTTTTGAGTTGAAAGATCACATTGAGATAAAAAAATAATAAGATGATCACATTAATTTGTTTTTAAAGTACAAGGATCTCACCTTCCATTTTACCATTATTTTTTAACCTTATGCCTTACATTTAATATATTGTTGAAAAGAATTTAAACGTGAAACAGGAATTACCGATGAAATTCGAGTTTTCCCTTTCGTCCTAGCAGTAGCAGTAAGCAGCTACTGCGATGACTGACGATGACCTATAGTGGTCCAAATGGCATAAATCACGCTATAACCGAGACATGCCCAGTTTCGTGCAGTGATAAAGTTCTCCACGATGGACGAATAACTAGATATGCATGAGTCGGATTTTTTGTTCTTCTAATTTAATTCGAGAACAATGAATTTTACACTCAAAATTTGATTTGATCCGATTGAAACAAGATTTCATCATATTCGAACCCGACCTAATATATAACTTAAAAATTTGACTCGATTTGATCTAAAATAATAAAAAAATATTATTTTTATTCAATAAAAAATGACTTAATTAAAAAATAATATATATAGGGGTATTATTATAATTATTCTTATATATAAGGTAAAATTATTTTATTCCAAGTCGGCTCAAATCATATATTTTTCACTCTAAACCCGACCCGACCCCAACCCCGACCCCAAATTTTAAAAAAACTCAATCGATCGAATCAGGTCGGATAAAAAATCGTCGAGTTCGAGTTTCATACCTATCCTTACGAATAACTATCGTTGCCCCATTAATAAAAGCACTGCATCAACTTTTGGCA